ACAACTGTACCATGCCAGTTGGTTTACTATCTACATTCCTTTGCAGGAGCCATCCTCCAACTTCTTCTTCCTTTTCGTAACATCTGTGTATATTTTAAGATTCAAAAATCCATGTCTTCTATGAAGGCTTGGTCAACCTCTTTCTGAATGGGAAATGACCACTCCCAACTTGGTGCCCACATTGTACCCTGTGAAATTCTATTATATGAATGTGACTACATAAAAATAAAATCTATATAATAAAGCAAGAGAAGAAAGTAAATGATAACTGGAAAAATGTTTTCAACAAATATGACAATTATAAAGTTATTATACTTAATATATAATGGCACTCTTACCAAATGAATATAAATAAAGGCCAATGGGAGAATGAAAAAGGATCTTGAGGACGATGAGGGAGAGTATATCCGTAAACTACCTACAACTTCTTCACAGTCTGTCATTGCTTCAGTCTATGACACTGGCTGGACCATGCCTACTAATGTATGGAGTTGTGTTGTTTAATGATTGCACAGCCATGACATCGCCAGAGAGCTTTACAGTACATTTAATTCTAAAGATATTTCCCAGCAAAATCCCTAAAAAACGTAGGCAATCCATGGAATAAATATCAAGAATTGCAGCAATATAGATGATGAGTATAAATGTTAAAACAACCTTTAAAAAGAATGTAGTTGGAGGGACAAATTTCTAATTTCACAACTAACTACAAAGCTGCAGTAATCAAGACCATGTGGTACTGGCATAAGGATAGATATATAGATCAATGGAATAGAATTGAGAGTCCATAAATAAACCCATACATTTGTGTTCAATTGTTTTTCAGCAAGGGCTCTAAGAAAATTCAATGGAGAAAAATAGTCTTTTCAATAAAAAGGGCGGGGACAACTGAATAGTCACATAAAAAAGAATGAAATTAGACTCCTACCACCCACTATATACAAAAATTAACTCAAAATGAATTAAAGACCTAAATGTAAGAGCTAAAACTATAAAACTCTGAGGAAAAAAACAGGTATAAATCTTTGTGACCTTGGGTTAAGCAATGGTTTCTGTAATATGACATCAAAAACATGAGCAACTAAAGAAGGAATAAATGAATTGAACTTCATCAAAATAAAAAATGTTTGTGCTATAAAGGACATTATCAAGAAAGTGAAAAGATAACCCACATAATGGGAAAAAATATTTGCAATTGCAATATCTGATAAGCGTCTAGTATTCAGAATACACGAAGAACCTTTACAACTGAACAATAAAAAGACAAATAACCCAATTTAAAAACAAGCAAAAGATTTGAGTAAACACTTCTCCAAAGAAGATACGAAATAGCCAATAACAATGGCCAATAATGAAAAGATGCTTGACATCATTAGTCATCAAGAAAATGCAAATCAAAATCACTATGAGATACCACTTCACAGCCGCTGAGATGGCTAGAATAAAAAAGTCAGATGACAGCAACTTTTGGTGAAGATGTAGTGAAATCAGTACATTCATACACTGACAGAGAGAATGTAAATGGAACAGCCCCTGTGGAAACAGTTTGGCAGTTCCTCAAAAAGTAAAATATATAGTTAACATATGACCTAGAAATTCCATTCCTAGGTATACACCCAAGAAAACTGCTTAAAAACTTATACACAGATGTTTATAGGGAACTTATTCACAATAGACAAAGAATGGAAAACCTAGATGTCCCGCAGCTGATGAATGGATAAACAAAATGTGGCATATCCATAGAATAGAATCTTATTGAACCGTAAAGAGAAATGAAGTACTGATTCATGTTATAACATGGATGAACCTTAAAAACATGCTAAAGAAGCCCAATATGAAAAGCTACATATGATAGGATTCCATTTGTATAAAATATCCAGAATAGGCAACTTCACAGAGACAGAAAACAGATTAGTGGCTGCATGGTGATGGGAAATAGAGAGTCACTGTTAATGAGAATAGGATTTCTTTTTGGGGTGATAAAAATGGTCTGGAATTAGTGATGATGATTTTTCAACTTTTGAATATACTAAAAGCCACTGAATCGTACACTTTAAAAGGATGTATTTTATCTCAATGTAAAATAAACAAAAGCATAAATAATGAACACACTTAAAAAAATTCAATGTCACTAGCAAATGAAGAAATGTAGATCAAAACAGAAGGTTAATTTTTCATTGCCTTAGTAAATCATTTTAAAAATAAAGATACTCAAAGCTGACAAGAGTGATGATCTTAAACACTGCTATAAGAAATGTAAACTTATATATCATTTCCAAAAAACTATCTGGTAACCTGTATCCAGAAGCTTAAAATGCTGATTTTATTTAACATTGTCATCTCAATTCTGGGAATCTGCGTTCCATATTTGGCAGCCCATATAAAGTCCATATGAACCCCCCTTACCTCAGAGGTAGGTAGAAAGAATGAGTCTCACACTCACCTTGGGCCCTATTTGGCCTCTATATTGCAGTCAGCATCATTTGTATTTTCTTATTTCTACAATCCTACTGCATGTCCACTAGGAGGAAATGTTAGAAATTCTACGTTTTTTTTTTCTCATTCTCCTAAATTCTCATTTTTATGTGTATTATTATTAATGTATATTAAACTACTATGGATGTACTATAATATATAAGTAAGTGCTAAATGTATATTGGAAGTGCAGGTTCCTCAAACTTTACTGAAGGGATACACTATCTAAAAAAATATTGGACATCAGTGCAGCATCCATCAGCGTAGTCTCTCTCCTTCAGCCAAAACTCATCTACTCTACTGCCTCTAGAACACAGTTTATGTCTCTTTGTTTCTGAGCTTGGTTCATAATCAGTTTGTTTGTTTGAAATGACAGTATGACAGTCACTCTTCCTCCGTTTATTTATTTTTTCCAATTAAGCTTTTATTTATTGTTCACCAGAAAATAGACAGTTTATGAAAAATTATTAATAAACCTGCACTAAATGTTTTCGTTTACTACTTAGTCAAACCAGCCACCTTTTTGTACTCTGTATTGTATTGAAGAATATGCCATTTTGATTATATTTCTAAGTAAATGAATTCTTTGCATTGTTAACATAGCGGTCTTGTTTGTGTGATTTGCTGTTTGGAAGATGCCTTTAAGCTTCTCTGCCATTGTCCTTTGCATGTCATGTGGGTGGTCATGCTTTTCAAACACTTACATGGTTTTTAATGAAAGAGACTGCTGGATGGGATACTACCACGAGAAGCACAAATATCCTTTTTGAAGCTCACCATTGACTGAAACCTCTACAATATTTACTGCAAAATGTAAACTCCTTAGGAGAGATGCATACAGACAAATATATACAAATACAGAGGCTTCCATTTTCAGTCATTAATTAGATGCTGTATTTATATTAAAGAACCAGCACACTTTAAAAATACAATCATGTGGAAAGTCTAGTAAAATTCATGTTTCTTATAATCATGCCATGCTTCACAAAGAGAGATATCCCATGATTTTGGATAGGAAGATTCAATATTGTTAAGATGTCAGTTAAGATGTGAGTTAAGACACTTCACCAAAAAATATATACAGATTGCAATAAATATCTGAAAAGATGCTCAGCATCATAGGTCATTAGGTAATTACAAATTAAAACAATAAGATACCATGACAATTATTAGAATGGCCCATATCCAATACACAGATAACACCAAATGCTGGTGAGGATGGGAAGCATCAGGATTTCTCCTTCATTGCTGGTAAGAATGCAAAATGGTACAGCCACTTTGGAAGATAGTTTGGCAGTTTTATACAAAGCTAAACATAGTCTTATCATATGACCCAGCAATAATGTTCCTGGGTATTTACCCAAATGAGATAAAAACAGGTCCACACAAAACTCTGCACATGAATGTTTATAGAAGCTTTTTCATAACTGCCAAAAATTGTAAACAATTAATACACATTCTTCAATCGGTGAATAGCTAAACAAACTGTGGTAATCCATTCAATGGAATAATATTTGGCAATAAGAAGAAATAAAAAAGCTACGAAGCCACAAAAAGTCATGGAGAAACATTAAATGCACATTTCTAAGTGAAAGAATCTAACCTAAAAGGTTATATAATATATGGTTGCAACTATATGATGTTCTATAAAAGGCACAACTTCAGAATCAATAAATGAATCAGTGGTTTCCAGGGGTTCAGAAGGAGGAAGGGAAGGATGAATCAGTGGAGAATAGTGGATTTTTCAGGGCAGTTAAACTATTGTGTATGGTATCGTACCGGTGGATACACGATGTTATGCATTTATCAAAACCCTCACAACTGTACAGCAGAAAGAGTAAACCCCACTGCCAACTATAAACTTTAATAAATAATATTGTATCAATATGTACCACACTAATGCAAGATGATGATAACAGGGGAAACTGCAGAGGGAGAGGGGGTATATGGGAATTCTCTACTTTCCACTCAAATTTTCTGTAAGCCTAAAACTGCTCTAAAATATAAAATCTATTAAAAAAATTTTTTCCATAGCAAGTAAAAAAATTAACAGCAAATTATGTATTTCACATATGTATAAAATACACATATATATGTGTGCATGCACACATATTTGGATAAAATAACTACACTTCTCTCTTCACCATAATTTTTAAAGGTTACACTCTGTTATTTTCCCTCTCCTAAGGTAATGCTTCTACGGGCCTAACTAGGTAAATGGGAGATGAGGAAATGCAGGCGGTGATGCTAAATTGTGCTTACAAGAAATTTGGTAGTGAAAGGAAATAGGACTGAAATGGACAGTTGTGGGAGTCTTAGGGTCTAGGAAAAATTATTTTTACAGGATATAATGTTGCCAACTATAATAATATATAGTTAATAGCTCATGACAATTTATTCTGTAGTTATTTCACTTTCTTCTCAAGAAGTACAGATGGAAACGTGGTTATAATACTGCATACCCAAAGTATATTTCAGAATTTCCCAATGAGTGAAAATGTGAGGAAAACAAAACAAGCACATACCAATTTATTGATGCTGACCAATAGAACATGCTCATATTCTTTGCCTTCTTTACCTTCAATATCACAGTCAGAAGATGCTACTGGCAACAGAACAAGGATCAGGGGAGGAATTCCAAAGATATACCTAAAAGAAACTAAATGCAACAGGAAATAAGAATGAGCTAAATGTTATGCCATATTACATTTGATTGTGGTGTTTCAATGGGCTCAATCACTTAGTTCTAGTAATTTTTAAAATGTGTCTCGGTTTTGAGAGAGTGCAGGAAGGGCCCTAAAAATTAAAATTATATAACCACCAAAGTGGGACAGCATTTTGAAGTGTAGGTTTATTTTATATTTTTATTTAGGAGTTATTCTTTGGGAAAGTACAGAACAGGTGTGATGAAATCAGAGACTCTTTGCTTCTGAAAGACATTTTTGGTTGTAATGATGGTCTATTCAGTTTGGATTTATGTTCAACTTCCCTGTAAGAAAAGACATCTACAGGTAATTAGTACACTACAGTTCCAAAAGTCACATATTATTGAAATGTTATGATCTATGGAAAGCATCATATAATTACTTGAAATGTGAAGGTAGTCCATGTGTTTCATTGCCTTACGGAGGCAGCACTGTGGAAGGTTCATCTCCATGGTAGTACACTGTGATTATGTTCTTTCTTTTAAATAATGGACCTTAAAGGGTTTACTTTTGTCAAAACACTTACAAAATTGAAGTTTGTATTTTAGGACTCCTCTTCCTATCCTTTTATCACCCTCTGTCTCTACATGGCCAGAGACCCATATTCTTTTCAAACACAGCTCTGTCCAGCTTCTTGCCATGTTAGAAAAACCCAGTAAATGAATTCACACTCTGTTAACTAAAGAGTTATATCTCTTTTTGATAAGCCTTTCCAATAAGAGTCAATTATCTAACCAAAAGGAATGAAATTATAAATGGTATCATTTACAGTAAAAATACACTGGATAGAAAGCCAGGGATTCCCAGAAACTTTAAAATCTGGTTCTATAGGGACTTATTTCTTCATAAGCCAGCCATAGTGTCTTGTTTCTTTCTGTAAACTCTCAGTTATGTTGACAGCATGTTTTCTATGAATTTCTCAAATGAACTTTAGCTGTAATTGCTGCAGGCAAGACATTTCACAAGTGTGTCTTATCTGATTAAGAATTCAAACAAAACTCCTTCAAACCTAAGGGTTTGACGTTGTGACAATAGCCTAAAGATTGTTAAGGATATCATAAGGTTACTAATAACATTGTCATCTATTATATCACTGTCTGTCATATAAAAAAATTAGTAGCACACCCCAACAAATTAAGTGCTATTAGTGACCCACATTTTTCCAAATAGAGGAAGTAGGCTGGGTAGCATTTATGGGAGCAAAATAAATCCTACTTCTCACCATATGTGACTGACACTTGACGTAGAAAGAAAAACAAAAATACAGGAGAAATATATTGATAGCTCTGCCACTAAGTACCTATACCCATGATGAGGAAGAATTCATTTAGGGGATTAATAATGATGATGATGCTCTTTACCTTTAACTGAGCACCTACCATGTGCCAGGTCTGAATGCTAACCTGAGTTTGCTGCCTCACCAGGATTTGATCAGAAATGACCATAATCTTTTGATACCATATAATCATACTGGTCTTCTGAATGAAAACCACTTCCATGTAATATTGTTCAGCTCTGCCTCTCTCTTCTACTACTGTTCTTCCATTCTGGATCTCCTCAAACAATGATAAAATGCTAATTATTTACTAGGTTCTGACCTTCTAATCGGATTTGTATAGATTATACAGAACTAAACTTTTTATTTTCCTGACATTTTACAGGTGACCAAAATATATACTTTGGGAGGAGTAGACAAAACAGGAAGAATTATATGGCATATACCTTGAAATTAGCTTTAAGGAGAATATAATAAAATAAATATTAGAGTGAAAGATAGATATGGCTACCATTGTGCATAAATGTTATTTTGAAGGTCCGCATTTTATGTTTTAATAAGTGAAGTTGTTTTCTTTTCTATGAGCATTGGTAGTCTTCTTCACTGCAATTTTCAGTAGCAGATGCTCCCAAAATTTACATCAACCTATTTTTTCCATTCAATGGCATTTTGTCAATGCTTTTCAATGACAGTTTGGTGGAAAATTCACAGTCTTTTTCTGTATTAAAACTGTCTCAATCCTAAAACATAGCATGACTTGCCTTTAAAGAGAGTCTTCTCTTTGCCATTTTTGTTGCTGAGTAAGTTAGCCCCAAATGGACTAGGGCAATGCAAAACACAGAGGGTTTCAAACCTGGGGACTTGAGATATTTGACTTAGTATTAGAGTGGATTTTGTGACTGAATGAATGAAAGAGCATCACTCAAGCTTCACTTACCTGATTTCTAAAATGAAAAATTTTGACCAAATGATCTTTTAATACCTCTTTCAGCTCTCAAGCACCTTAATTCCAAGAGTCTACCTGCCTATCCAAATACAGAGACTCTTTATATTTGAAACTGCCTCATGGGCAATGCTGCAAACACATCCAGGGCCTCAGACCCATATCTCATAGGTTCCAGGCTCTCTCATTAATGAAGTGCAGTTTGTTCTATACTTGAAATCCTTTTTCCACACCACGTGGAGGGTAACATATAGAGACTGCCTGGTTTGAGAGTGCTTTTGACACTGTTGTCAACAATGGGAAAGGAAGTCTACTTTATTTTATTTTGTTTGCATTTGTTTCATACTGTGTAGACACCCTCCGACCCCTGCAGCCTGAACTTTTTACTAGGTTACAGAGAAGATAAAACATAAGGAATAATGCAAAGCAAACATGAGCTTGTGGAATTGTCTTCAGATCTCCTGAAGGGACTGAAACTGGAGAATTTGTTTTCAGCAGGGAATTTGGTTAAACCAGAATGATGGCTGCCTAAAAATTCTTGTTGGTTTTTAATTTAAGCCAAATAATACATTCAATCCTCAGCTGTTTAAGTTATGGGGTCAAAGTGAACATAAACATATTGGTTTCTATAGTCCAACAAATCCAATTTTTTATCAGTCTTTAAGACTGATAAGTGTTTACCGAATGTCCATTACATAAACCTATTCTCACTAAGAATTTAATTCCATAAATATTTCATGAGGTAAATACAAGTTATTTACATTTTAAAGATGGGAAATCTAAGCCACAAAAATTTTTTTTTCCTATATAGAAAGTGTCTAGTAAGAGCCAGGATTCAAATCCAGGTTTATCAGGTAGAAGAGTATTGAAACTCAGCTTTTAGCCACTAAACTACACTGCTTCCTATAAAAATAACTGTATGTGTAGTCAAGGGGAGTGTGCAAAAATCATCACCCTCTGCAGGAACCTTACTAAGGTACTTCCTGGCCAAGTTCTGAAACTGCATCATACACTCTTATCTCAGAAAAAAAAAAAAAAAAAAAAAAAAAGGAAATAAATATTTGCTCTTATTGTGGTAGGTCATGTGTCAGCGGTGAGACCAGAAAAAAAATCTCACACGACTGTGAATGTGACATGTCCAATCAAACAACCCTTTCCATTACCGTTTTAAGATATTTAAACTAATGTGGTACCATTTGTAGTTCTTCTTCACACCTGCTCAGGATTTCTAATCTTTCTCAGTTCTCTGTTTTTATTCGTGCTCTATTTTTTGGTCCTCAACTATGATGAAATTAACCCAAACCAGATAGCACAGTTTAGGAGCATATGGTAGGTCCTCAACTACTTCAACTCCCAAAAGAAATAGCAAAGAAAAAGGGTAAAGAGTAACCCTATTCACGTTCTGATGGAGCTTAAACTTCCAGAGATATCTCTCAGAACAAAATGCAGAAAGACACTCATTCTAATCATCATTAACAGAAGTTTAAAATTTAAATATTTTATTTGCTATTAACTTATGGTGCATGATTAATACAGATATACTGCAGGAAATAAAGACTTCTTGTTAAAAATGCACACCTTAGCTTCCTTTCCTCGTTTTACCTCTCTTTAGATCACAAATAATGAAAGATTAGAACCAGGAGTGATCCGTAAGGAAATAATTGCAGACAACCAGGGGCATTGCAAAGAAAAAAAGGATGTGTTCAATTTCTAAATCTATATTAACCCCCTGGAGGAAACTCCTTAAAAATATTCTTGCATAATTGTCTTTGGTATTCTTCCCCCTCCCCCATCTTAATTTTGCTACCGAGCTGGTACTCCTTGGTTACGTTAATTTTTCATTCTCTAATGTCTATGAGAGGGGAAAGGACTCGACCTGAGTAGCCGGGAAAGCGCGCACCAAAGGGAAGAGCAGTCACTCCCTATCCCCGCACCCTCCCCCACCCGTCCTCTTTTGCTTGAGGAAGTACTTACTGTAAAACTACAATTTCCCTGAGCAGATGCTCTCTCCCTCACATCCCCCTTTCTCCTTTTTTCTTACAGTAAATGTTTTGGCTCTTTACATTGGTCACACGGCTACCACCGGAACCCATCGCGCCTCCATTCTGCTCGCGCAAATAACACGCTAGATCCTAGCAAGGGTCTGGAATTTAGAGCCATGCCCATTTGATCCTGCCTCTATCAGGGAACGCGCATGTAGAAAACACAAAAGCTGGCCTTTCTCGGTGCCAGCCCCAGGACTTGGGTTCCCAGCAAATGGCGCAAGGTACGGCCCCGGTCGGAAACTCCCAGCCTGACTGAGGGGAGAAAACGGGGTTTTCCAGAGACCTGTTCCCATAGGGTTTAAAAACGTGTCTCGTGCGAGCTTCGCTTTCACTTCTCTAGGGAGTTCGAAGCTGCAGGAGCCCGGCTCCTCGCCGAAGCCGGGCCGCCTGTGAGTAACCTGGCGTGGCCAGGAGCACGGGAAGGGCGGGTTTGGCGCCGGATTGGCAGAGGACAGCGGGGCTGGGGGCATACAGACAGACAGACATAGAAACAGACAGCCATTGGCTACCTCTCAGACCCAGCTGCGGGCTGCCACCGCGGAGCCACGCGGAGGCTGCAAGGCTCGGTCTCAGGGAAGAAAGCAGGCGTCGGGGACTGCTTCTCGTAGCCAGCCAGGCGCAGCAGCCCCAGGTGCAGTGACTGTGGGCCACGGTACTCAGGCGCGTCTGGGCTGACAGCAGCTCGTGGGAGAGCCAATGCTCTCGGCAAGTCCAAAGTGCAAGACCGGGCTATTCCCGGACCTGCCTTTGGCACGGGGGCCGGCAGCGCGTCCCGGAGATTCCCGGCGCGCGGGGCGCGCGTACTGGTGCGCCCGGGAGAGGAGCGCTTACCATGGAACATGGTCTGCGGGAGGCGGGCGTAGTCATGATGACCGCAACTGCAGCAGGAGCAAGCTCTCGCCGCCCATAGTCACTCCCAGGACCCTGATCTTCCGCGGAGCTGCCGGGAGTCCGTGCCGTGCAGGGCGGTCTCTGCGGCTGGTTCCTCTCACCCACGCCGCGCCTGCTGTTTCATCCATCCCAAGGGGGGCGGCACATTCCACGGCCCGGCTCGGCGCTTTGCCTTTTCCATAACTTCCGTAGGATCAGCCAGCAGCGTACTTTCAGTTTCTACTTTGCGCTTGGTCTGCAGGGTCAATCTTTGGGTTCACCACCCGGGCACCTTCACCATCCCCCGTCTCCGGGGCACCTGCGTCCTCCGTTAGCGCTTCTCGTGCACCTGGACCGGGACCAGAGGAGGGCGCGAATTACCAGAGCACTGCAGGACAATCCCGCTGGCCTTCTGAATTGGAGCGATTTGGGGTAAAAGATTTTCCAGATGACCTCTAACCGCCTTGGCAAAGCTGTGTAACTGGGAACTAAAACCATCAGTTGCTAATATGTCCACGGAAGCCACAAATGTGCGGGGCGCAAGCTGGGCAATCACAAGCGGACACCACCCAGGAGGCGTCGCAACTCCTGGCGCGGATGTGGTGGACTGTGCCAAGTCGTCTTTAAAAAAAAGGAAGTGAAGAATGATTGAGAGGCCCACGGCCGCTGCCCCTCCAAGTTCTCTAATCAGTCTCTTCCCGCCGTCCTCTACCTGCTCAGGTGGGACCTCAAGGAGAAATAATCCTGTGGGTCCACCTCATCTGGTAAGTAGTATCTATGAAAAATCCATCCCCCAAATAAGTGGTGGACATGGAAACTCACTAAAACAGTTAATAACTATGACTCCCACGTGCACATTTGTCTGATTTGGCTAATAAATACAACTATCCATCTTGACAGTGTGTCGCTGAGATGTTAATTTTCTTCCCCTAGGCCTGAGTTATCTAGGTATTTCTTGCTTTAGAGTGGTTTCTGAAATTCTGCGGAAACCCTGCCTGGATGAAGGTGGGTAATGTAAACCAGTAGCAACAGCAGCGATAGTAATAAAGGCTATCATTTATGTAGTATCTGCATATGTCACCTCGTGCGAAACTTTCTATGAGGTAGACCGTTTTCTTATCAGCGCTTTACAGATGTGGGAACTCAGACTTCCTTACGTAACTTGCTGCAGTTCACTTAGCTAACAGTTTGGACACAAACCTGCTGCGTTCTGGCTCTAGGGTTCATGCTTGGAAGTCCTGTGTCAGAAGTCCTTGTCCATAATGCACTAATGTAGAAAGTGTTGCCAGCAGAGACACGGCTTCAGCTGGGTGTGCCTTTGCCCCAGGGCGGGGACCTCAGAAAAGGTTTCTGGAGTTTTTGACTTCTAAATTGACACCTTAAAAGGATATATTTGGGGCTGGCAAAGAGCATTCCAGATTCTGTTATAGTGTGAACAAAGAAAAGCGGAAGAGAGGATGGAGGGAGAAAGAAAGAGAATAAGTGATTAGAGAGCGAGAGAGAGAGTTGCTCAAGCCTGAAACTTGGATCTGCGATTCTTCTTTCAGTCTCACTGCCCACATCCAATCCATAGGCAAGTCCTGTCATCTCCATCTCTAAAATAAACCATGCCAGGTGACTGCAAGGTCTGTCTCAGGGATCTTCCAGCCTTTGCTCTTGCCCACACCCCCTTCCTTCTCCTCAGAGCAGCAGGATTTCATCACACTTCCCACCTCTGGTCACTTCCCACTAGGCCCTATATAATCTGGGCCCTGCCAACCCCTCTAAACCTCCCCAGTATCCAGCTCACTATGCTTCAGCCACACTGGCCTTTTATTCCCTTGTGCCCAGTCCAGCTTACTTCATTTAAAAGGAATCTAGCACATGGTTGTCATTAAATATTGAGTGACACCATAAAAGAACACATGAGCAAGAATGCATGAATGAATACGTGTGAAAGCAGAAGGGAGATGGAAAGAGGGAGAGAATATGGGCAGCAAATGAGAAGAGGAGACAGAACGGAGTGGGAAATGCTTTGTATTTCCAGTTAACTGGAACCTAGAGTAGGAGGTGGGGTTTGAAGAGACCTGAGGCTGGAGTGACTTTTAAAATGAAGTCTATAACCAAACATGCCTGGGTTGGTGATTTATTTATATAAAATCTTGTTTAAGATTAGTCTAGACCTATTTTATATTCAAATAAAATAGGATCCAAAAAAGGTTAATTCACCTATCCAATGGAAAAATGGCTATAAGTGGATAGCCTGTAATTCTAAATCACAACTGTTTGATTTTCAAGCCTGAGTCTGGGAATGAATTTTGCATTTTATCAAATGACTACTGAGCATCTATTTACACGGTCATGTTTTTACATGTTGCATTCCTGAATAAACCATAACTTTAACATAATGCTAAACTCAAGTTCCTAATATTTAACTTGGAATTTTACAACCATATTCCTAATTAGGATATGTTTGTTCTTTATATTATATCCAACTGAGATTGGGCTAGTTTTGTCAGGTTTTGCTAGCTTCATAAGAGAAACTGGAAATTCTATTGGTTTCTAAAACTGTAACTGTTTAAGCATTATATGAACTATTTGTTTCCGGAAGACTTACTAGATAGAGTTCCACAATGCAACATACTTAATTTCATGGCCTGAAGCTCAGGGATAGGATGAGACTGTCAATTTTGAGCATTACAAGAGTGAATATAAAAAGATTTATACTGAACGCTGAATCAACATGACCAAGTGAGAATGTCAGGAACACTGTTGGAGATGTGTGTGTCAGTAGGTCAGTAATGGCCTGAGCCGTGGAAATGAATGAAATTACCCAACCTGAGAAGAGAGAAGTAATGCCAGGAAGATCCTTGAGACACGAGCACTAAGGGGTATGTATGGAGAAACGGGATGCCCGCCAATAAAACCAACAAATACTGGATGGCAAAGTAGGACAGTCAGAATCAGTGGCCAGAAGACAACAGAGGATATAATTTCAAAACAAAGTAAGTTGTCAGAGTTTCCGAATGTCACAAAGAGGTTGAGCAAGGTGAATATTGAAAAGTGCGTCTACTGAATTTGGCAGAGCACAGACTGTCCATAATCCTCATGACAAGAGATTGAGAAGAGTAGTGTAGACAGAAACAATATTCTAGTTTGAGGGTGGTTAGAGAAGGAAATACAGTGAGGGGGCAACTTTTTAAAAAAGGTTTGGTAAAATAAATAGGGTAATGCTTTAAAAGGCATGTAAGGGGTAATGGAAGTTTTCATTTACAAGTTTAAGCGTTTGAGCATATCTATATATTGATAAAAGCAAGAAACTCAAGATACCTGATTTATTTATTTTTCTTATTCTTTTTTCATCTCTTTCCTCTAATTTCAGTCAAGTTCTATAATTCTAAACGGTCAGAATCCATTATGTAACTGGTACCTAATTTTATGCTTCTTATTGAAATTTTCCTTGTGGCACTAACTTGTATACTTCTGTACTGAGTATTGTCTTGTCTAAGAAAGAAATCTAATATTTTCCAAATCATTTTTCAGAGGTAGCTTTTTTGTAATCTGCATTATCCAATCCATTTTTATGCTAATGGATGTGTTGTTGACAATCAGAGATTTCTTTTATATACTAGATTTATATACTAGAAGGACTACACTTTTAACCACTGCATTTATAGAAGATTAATTAGAGAAGATTATAACTACCATAATTTTCTATATGTAAACTAATTGAAAAAAGTGGAAAAATATTTTGCTTAAATCCCTGGATAGATCCCCTTTATATTATACAGTTACTATCTGAGGATATTGAGTTGTTCTTATGTACTCTTGGACTGCAGTAACTGTCTTATTCAACCTGGAATTCTCTGCAGTCAACAGAATGCCTTTCAAGTTACACATCTACCCAAGTTTGACTTGTGAAAAAGGGAGATATCAGACTGCACAAGTCTTGACTTGCTGCTCTTACAGAGTTTTCTCTGAGCAAATTTGTGTTCATGTCCAGGAATGTGACAATACAGACTACTGATTGATATCGATATGTCTAAGGTTCTGGTAAACTTGTCAAAATTCTAATATTAAATATAGATTTAGACTTATTTTCCTAATATGGAGAATTGTCTTATTTAAGTTCTTTCATTGTTAGATTAGAAAATTAGTGCAGTCTGCCTCTTCTTCAGGCAAGCCTGGTTTGTTCCAGTGTACTTGTTATCGCCTTAGACTGCAATTAGACATTCATCAACTGATATATGACATGTGGAATGATTAAATGTATTACAACAGTAATGAAGTCAATAAAAAGTAATCTAAAAAGTAATAGTAATCTTGTAGCTTCCTGGATTCCGAGGATATTAGTCACTACTCTGTGCCAATAATATGTCAATTAACAGACATCTGAAAAGCCTAAACCTACCATTAACATGCTCACTTAAGAATTTATATATTAGCTGTCAGTGACGTATATATTTAATGAAAAGAACACAAATATTGAAATTTTCGAGAGACCAAAACACTCAGCCATTGAGTTTTGTGTGCCAATGATTTCTTCCAGCAGTGGAGAAGAGCATCATATAATCTTGAGTAACATGCCCTATTAAATCTATGCTGTATACTTTGATTTCTTTCTTTTTCTGTTAGCAATTCTCCTGAATGTTTAACTAAAAAGTTTTCTAATCATGTCTTCCTCTTTAGATTTTTAAAATTGTATTTAATTTTAGTTTTTACTTTGACAAATAAAATTGTATGAATTTACCATGTACAACATGATGTTTTAAAGTATCTATACACTGTGGAATGGCTAAGTCTAGCTAATCAACATATGTATTGCCTCACATAGTTATTTCTGTGGTGCAAATAATTTATATATGCATTCTTTAAGCATTTTTCAAGAATACATTATATTATTAACTATAATCACCAGGTTGTACAATAGATCTCTTGAACTTATTTCTTCTAACTGAAATATTGTATACTTTGTCCCACATCTCCCCAAACTCCCCTCTTACCCAGGTAGCCCAGACCCTGGTAAGCACCATTCCACTCTGTATTTCTATGAAATAAGCTTTTATAGATTCCACATATGAGTGAGATCATATGGCACTTATCTTTCTCTTCCTGGCTTATTTCACTTAACATAATGTCCTCTAGGATCATCCCTGTTGTCACATAAAACCCTGTTATTCTTTTGTTACGGCCAAATAGCATTCCATTGTATATGTAAACCACATTTACTTTATGCATTCATCCATTGATGGACACAGATTAATTCTATATCTTGGCTCTTGTGAACAATGCTGCAATAAACACGGTGGTGCAAATATCTCTTTGACATAATGATTTCATTTCCTTTATATATATATGCAGTAGTGGAATTGCTGGATGATATATAGTGCTAATTTTGATTTTTTGAGGAAACTTTATACTGTTTTCCATAATGACTATACTTAATTTAGATTCCCACCAGCAGTGTGTAAGTGTTCCCTTTTCTGCATATCCTCACCAACATTTCTTATTTTTTCATTATTTTATAATAACCATTCCAACAGGTGGGAGGTGACATCTCAATAATTTGCATTTGGTTTTAATTTGAATTTCCGGATGATTAGTGATATCCAACATGTTTTTCATATACCTGTTGGCTATTTGTATGCTTTTTTTGAGAAATGTCTGCTCGGGTCCTTTGCTCATTTTTTAATTGAGTCCTTTGTTTTCTTGCTATTGAGTTGTTTGAGTTCCTTATATATTTTGGATATTAACTCCTCATCTGATGTATGGCTTGCAAAAATTTTCTCCCATTCTTTAGGTCGTCTCCTCAC